TTGGCCTCATTGGAGAACAACCAGAATGAAATGGGACAAACGTCAAACAGGCAGTACAAGAAGGAGAAAATAAAAAAGGACAAACCTATGCTAGCCTAGCCTTCTATCTGGGGTAACACCCCCTCTTAAGAACCCTGACTAGGACGTCAGGGTGGATCCAAGGTCCATCTACTTCTGGACACTCTCGAACCCTGATCATTCCCCATGCCTCCTACTGCGGATATTTAACCGAGTGCCCTGGTTGTTCCTCGTTATTATCCTAAATTATACCTAACTCCCTACCGCCCTTTATTTATTTACTTATTTATTTTAAAACACGTTCAATTCATATTGCAAAATTCCAAAGTTGAGGCCGGGGATCACAATTCAACCCGGTTCTGGGAGCCTTACCCAGTGTTAGCTTTTTACGAGACCACATGGGACCCGAACCTCATCCAAACCTGTATTTCCTACCAAACGCTGAACGCGTTCTTGTTTTTTGTCATCCTTATCTTGACTACCATTACATCTTTACCTCTGTTACCACTACCTTAACAAAGTCTTCTCAGCTAGTTAACACAACTCTAGGCAATCTTGCGAACTTAGCATTACTGTTTTATCTTTGAATGAACACCACTATCCTAATCAACAACTACTCTTGTTTTGGAACCCAAAAACTTCCTTTCCGCCCCCGAGTTAAGGTTCGTTGATAGCGAGAGAACGGGGGCGCGGCGCGGCCGGGAGCGCTGCGCCCCCTCAGTACGATCTTGTCGGCGAGCCACGGAGATGTTAGGCGGCGTCCCTCCCGCGCATGGCGATGAGAGGCGATGGGGAGAAGGAACAAGCGGCGAGGAGCGGGGGATGAGGGCGGGGTGACGACAGGATGAGATGGAGGGTGATGAGGTAGGAGGCAGGAGCAGATGGAGGCGCCTCGTGGGCTTCGCGACTCGTCGGTGCGGCTCGTCAGTGCGATGTGAGAAAATTCAGGTGAAGTGGCGGGTAAAAGCAGGGAGGTGAGTGATGGCAGGGAGGGGTAGTTTTTGGTGATGGTTCTAACGGCGGGCTTCTACGAGAGATGGCGGCGGGCCTCTACGAGAGATGGCCGCGGGCTTCTACGAGAGATGGCGGACTGCCACCATGGATGTTCCCTTTTTCTCCGGACTACCAGCGAGACTCGGCGATTTGGGCTCACTACGTGGATGTGTTGAGGTAAGTGTTGGCCACGGTCCGACAATCTTCATCGCTCAACTTTCTGGGTAGGGTAGGCAATGTGCGGGTGGATGGAGCTGATGCAGCAGAGGGAACGATCCTGGCCTAGATGAGAGCGTCTGAAGCTGATGAAGGAGGAGGTGAAGGTTGGGAGAGAAAGAGGACATGACATGTGTGGGATTAGGGTTGGAAAGGAATGTTATGAAGATTGTCCGCTGTTTTTTCCCTCTTTTCCGTCTGATTACAAGTTTTTAAAATTTTGCTTTGTTTTTGCATGATTTCTTACTGATGATTGTACTTTGTCTGATCGTAGGATTTTTTCTGGATGTTGTTGATCCTTAATTGAAATCTGTTTTTTCTAATCCTAAGCAAGATTTCTAATATGAAAATAGTGGTATGATCTAGGTAGGATTTCTTAATAATTCCGAGTAGTATTCCTAATCCAGAATTCGTTATTCAGAGTTTTGCTCTGAGCCCAACGAAGGATTACTCCCAATGATTGATTTCTTGATTGTACCCTTCTGATCGGTTTTCCGAATCCCAGGACTTAAAAATCAGGGCCGAAAGTCCGTTTGGACATCTTTAGTTGTGAATCTCAATATTATATTTCTACTTTTTGATGTCGGAAGGATGTGGTTCTAGTACTTTGTTCTGATTTAATTTCTGGTTGTCTGATTTTCTAAAGGTACATTTCCAAGGTAATTTTCCATCGGAAGTAAATCTCCATCCGAGAAAATTTGTGACGTTGCTAATTAGTTTTTCCTCGATACTTGATTCGATATTTGATACTATATGTTTGAGGTCCTACTCGGATCTATGGCTGTGATATTGTAGGATTTGGGCTCATAGGTGGCGATTGAATTCTCTCCTTCAGGGTTGGAGCCCCTCCCTGCGAGGGCTATGCAAGGTGGGAGGTGTGATCCTTGAGAGGGTAGGGGCGGTTTGTGGGTTTGTTCTCTTTTGGGCCAGGCTGATTAGCCAAGGCGGTTGGGAGAGAGGACAAAGGGACGATGCTGATTTCAGCAAGGTGAGAGGCTGAGAGGTGTTTCACCTGGAGAGGGTGGGACATGAGGGAAGGGTGATCTTCGGCTCTACGGGGGCATACTCTAGGGGGTATTGTGTGCTGCTGAGGGGGCAGGAGTGATTTAGGGGGCTGCTCAAAGCTGGGGCTGGAAGGTGAGGGGGCACCTTCCAGTGGAGGCAGTGAAAGGGTAGGAGGTCGTTTTTTAGGGGGAGGAGAAGAACGTTCGGTTTCTTATGAAGCCTCTTACATCCGGCAGAGACGTGAATTAGGCGTGAGAATTTTCATGAGGAGAGAAGAAGTTCCCTCCCATCTTCTCTTCTCGTGGGATTAATATGCCTTACATGATCACGGCTTAAAAAAAAATAAAAAAATCGTCATAATCTTGATGCTGGTTGCAGTGGACCGCGTTTGCTGTGATGGTTGGAAATAATGCACTCTATGGCGAAGGGGCTAGCCAATAGGGTGGAAACAGGGCATAGCAGTGGAGGAGATGGTGGCTCTACCGTCGTAAGTCTTGCCGGAGTAGGGTTGAGAAGGTTTGTTGTTGGATGACTGCAGCCAGTGCTTATTTTCATTAGAAGAACTAAAATCTGTTTTCAGACATTTTCTCAGTCGAAGCCGGGTAATGGCCCCGGTATCTCAAAAAAGAGTTCGGGGTGAGTGGGAGAAGGAGATGATGGATAGGGGATTGACTGGGGGTGTCTGAGTCTTTTCCTGAATCATACACATGTCTTGTTTTGTCTCTCAAAGAAGTGAGGGGGACAAGTAGATGGCTGGAGAACAAGCGTCCTACTAGTAAAGGGGTTAGCTCGTAGGACGGAAATAGGGCATAGCAACAACGGAGATGGTGGCTCTGCTGCAGTAAGTCTTGCCGGAGTGTGGCAAAGAGGTTTGATGGGGGGTTTTGAGTCGGTTTTCTGAAATTTTTCTGATGTTCGACGCAGTAACTTGCTTTGCTAAGGGGGTCGTAAGCGGAATCCTAGCAACTTTCTTAGACGGCTCCATTGCTGATATACTCAGTGATCTGCGGCTGTTCGAAGCCAGAACGACGCTGGCCGGAGCTGGGGTGTTGCCTTGTAACCTGCTGATGCAGGAGTGTGAGGCGTGGTAGAGAGATTTGGGGATGCTTTGGGGTGGGCATTCCAAGGGACACCCAAGGGTTGCTGCTGGGACGACGCTGGCCGGAGCTAGGGTGAGTCGTTTTACCCTGTAACCCAGCAGGGTGGGGGTGTGAGGTCTGGAAGAGCCCGCCAGGGAGTAAGACAGGTTTGGAGAGCTTTAGAAAGGTTGCTAGGGATACACAGGTTTATGAGCATTTGTAGGACCTCTGAAGGTTTCGCATAGTAATTTTCTCAGTCATTCAAAAATTTTCTATCTTCCCAGCCTTTGATAGTTCTTAATAGTTCTCAGACTCTTGAATTTGATTATCAGCCGAAGCAGGGTAATGGCCCCGGTATCTCAAATGATTTGTGTAACTCTATATGGGACGCTGGGCCCGGTTCCCAGCACGTGCTGCCCCCCCCGAAAAGATTGGAGCATTTGTCCCAAAAAAAAAAAAAAAAAAAAAGAAAGAGAGTTAACCCCACTCCAGTCTAGTCTATGTTGTCCAATAGGCCTACTCACGGCCTGTAGCCAGCCTGACCACGGCTGGTTGGAACCCGCGTTCCCTGCGACCTTGACACTTTACCACCCACCTCCCTCTATGGTGCCTCCTTCGGCCGGATCCAAAACTAGCTGGGGAACCGAGTGCCCTGGTTCCCTGATAACTATCTACCTCACTAACCTCCCTTACCGCTCTTCTGTCAGCCTCAATTCGATTTCTGGTGGATCACGAATCCAGGGGGAGAGAACTAGGCCCTGCGTGCGATGCACTCCTTCTAGTTGGTGTCTGTGAGCCCAAGTGTTGAGAAACCAGCGTAATTGCCTGTTGTTGCTGTTCCCGCTGCCGGACTTAGCCTTTGGCCTCCAGTCTACTCGGATTGCCTCTCTCAGGCCCTGACGGACTGCTTTTCTTGATTTCTAGGGTCCAAGTCCCACTTGCACCGTTGAGTTGAGCTAGCTCAATGGTGTGACAACTTTTCAAACATTTTTTAATTCATTAGAAATGAAGAAAGCTATTTTTTAATGTCCGGACGTTCATGTTTTATCATTTCCGCCTTGGAAAAACTTTGCCACGGAAAGTTTTCCGGTACCCCACAGGCTTGCGCAAAGTCCGTGGAAGGCCTTTTTCGTTTTCCAAAAGCCTGCTTCCGGAACCCCACAAACCCGGAAACGCGGCCTCGGAAACAGCCCCTGTCGTGTTTTCACTCGGTTTCCGACCTGGAAAACACCGCGGGAGGAAAAGTCGCCGCGATTTTGTGCAAGGTAGCGAGGGCACGGTGAAGGGTAGCCTTCAGCCTTTCCAAGGTCGCGGATGAAATGTGGACCTCCCTGTGTCCGTTCGCCATTCCGACGAGGACCTGGTGCACGGTCGAGCAGGATCCCTTGTCGCCCACTGCGTACGGCCGTTTGAAAGGGTACCGGTCCCACTCGCGGAGGGAAAAAGAAAAAAAAAAACGCTCTTTCGGTCCGTTTTCAAAATTTTGAATTTCAAACTTCCCCTTTCACGTGCAGCCTTGCTGCGGACATGCAAGCGCCGTGGGCCAGCCGTGTGAGCTGCGGGTATCTGCTCTGCTGTGGGAGAGTACAGACAGTTCGGCGACGCATGGCTGGATCGCAGCAACCATATCCCAACGTGACCATCGTTGCTGTGTTGGTTTGGGCGTTCGTCGTGTGTCTTGGTCTCGCGGTATTTTTGTTGGCGGTTCTTGCTGTGTGTGTAGCCGCAGTTCTCGTGACCATCCTGTCACGGCGGGGCTGACCTTGGCTGTGGTGTGTGGGAGTCGGATCTCTGTGTGCGGTGATAGTTATGGATGGCGGCAGTTTTACCTCGCAGTTGTACAACGAATCGGGAGGGTCACAGGGCATGGAAGTGTGCGAGGACATGGACACGCATTTGGAAAGCAGCAGATACCGGGCGAGCCTGTCGGCAGTGGCATGGCAATACGTGCCGGACTCTCAATTGTCCGCTGACACACGATCGCAGTTCGTGGCACAACCCGCGCATCCCCGGGCCCCTTACGTTGTGGGGTCGATGGACTCATCATCGCCCTTTCGCCGGGGGACATACCTGCCGCAGTCGCATCCTCACGTCACGCAGCCGGCCGTAGGTGGGACTGCCTTACATTCTCCGCAATCACTTTCTGCACGGGGGGGATCTTCAAGGACGGACGCGGGGGCGTGGGGGAGTAATCCGCAGCAGTCGTCGCATCCATCACCACACCGGCCACAAGGTATGCCGCCTTTATCGCAGCCTGTTGTCAGCCGCGACATTCCTGGTGGGGCCGACTACCATTCCGTACCACGATGGAGGTGCAACTGCCCCTGCGCCAGGTGGAGGTAATCGCCAGCGAGGCAGTGCGAGTCGGGGAGTCGATACACCACCATCGGCTGATTGCCGATCAAGGGACGGTGAAAGACTGTCCTTTTCACATCCGACTGTAGGTGTGGACAGTGTTCCAACTCAAGGCGAAGGGCGAAACAGGTAACACATGTGCAACGCAAGACACAAGTGCGAGAAGTCGGGAATGCAGCGTGGACGACGGCGGAACTGGTCGACCGCCGAAAGAACGTGGTGCAGGAAAATGGCGACAGGGGGGGAAGTCCACAGCGGCGCCGAAGAAGAACACCCTGTGGACTCTAGAGGAGCGAGTGCTATTGGCCAAAATCAGCGGCGAGGACGATGCTCTCATGGGCGATGCAGAAGGTGCCCATTCTCTCATGACAAAGGGCAGGCGTTACGATTGGATAGCGGACCGCATGAAGGACGAGGGGTACGCACGCACAGGAGAGGATTGCCGAAAGAAATGGGCGGAGTTGCAGAAAAAGGTTCGGGAGATAAGGGATGCATGCGATGGATCGGGCAAACAGCCATACCGGGATCTAACAACGGAGGAGAGAAAGAAATTGAACATCCCCATGACTTTCGAGCGACCGTTATGGGATGCGATGGAGTGGTACCGCCTGAAGGTTGCTTTCACCATGGACAACTATTCTGCAGCTGGCAGCGAGGCGGGGTCAGAGGGCGGGGGAACAGAGACTTCAGGTGGCGCTCCGAAGACTCGGAGGACGAACTCCGGGAAAGTTCGTGGTTCCGATGTCGGGCAAGGTGTGACGGCGATGGCGGCAGCTATGGAGGACACGAGCCGAACACTGTGCGAAGGTCTGGACAGGGCTGCTGGGACGTTGGCTTCGGCTACCACAGAAGGGGCCGCTTTGATGGCGGCACGGCAAGGCGACATGGCAACGGAGATCGGCCACGTCGCGGGGGCAATGCGGCAGGGGAACTCCGTTTTGGAGTTGCTCGTGGGTGTGATGGCAGGTAGACGTGGCGGAGCACCTGCCGGGGAACAAGGGGGGGGGTGACATGAGCGGTGACAAGAAGCATCGAAATCACGGTCAGGCAAGGTCGGATGGGGGGGTTGTTGGGGTTGGGGTACCAGCGTGGGAGTCTGTATTTTGGGGCAACGCAGCAACACCCCACACGCTGCATGGGGATAAAACCGACCCGCCGATCACGGGCGATAGAACGTATGGCGTTGTCGAGCGCATCGGTCCCGCATGGGGACCCTCCCGGCCGCGTCACGCAGGATTATGCAGGACTTATTGCGAGAGCGTTTGCCGCTCCGGCCGAGTGCGCCAGCCGTACCTCTCGCGAGTCCCTACGACAGGACAGAGTCAYGCGAGGCACCGCTACCTCCACCTGCGGGAGCTGTCACCATCCCTTAGGTGGGCGTATCCCTGCCGAGCTACTGAACCACATGCGAAGGCTTTTATAATGCAATTGCAGAGGTGGCCCAGCCGAGGGCGTTTCTCGTTCGCTGTAGCATAGAGTACGCGCGGTCAACGCCCGAAATCGGACCCGTACGCAAATCGACGATACTGGGGGGCTGAGGTCCCAAGCTCGACTTGACGTCGGTCGACTAGGATGCTCTACGCACACCACGCGATACACCACTTAAAGCAAAATTTAAGTAACCCACGTTCACACACTCACGCACCAAAGCAAAAGAAAAACACAACACTCCCAGTCCCTTTAGTACTGGACCCATAACCTTTTGGTACAAAGATTAGGTATGCGTCGCATGATGATTTAGTATAAAGAATCGCGCGATCGCACGGATTTCTCATACCAGCCAGTCATGCGTGCGCTTACAAGTGTTTGCAATAATAGGGTACTATGTGGTACCCAGGTCCAGGAGGCCCTCAGGGATTTTGAGGGTCCCTTTCGACACTCAAGTGTCGGCTGACAAGCACTTCAAGGGTTAATCTCTCTGCGCTAGACAACCGTCATGCGCGGTTGAGGACCACACACCCTCTTCTGCACCCTGTGCAGAGTGGGTGGTACACAGGTTTCACGCCTGTGGTGGCAGAAGTCAAGGGGTTTGACTTTGACGGCTGCCACGGACTGCAACGTCCAACCATAAGAAAATAAAAAAAGGACAAGGCTCAATATAAAGGCGTCGACCTAGTCTAACCCATATTGAGCCCCTATGCCTCCCCGATAACTTTCTCGATGCGATGTGGTGAGTTGCTACGGAGCTGCGTGTTCCTAAGGTTTAACTCAAGCCCTTGAGCGAGCCGACGTTCAATGCGTCGTATGCTCGGGCGCGAGGCCCTTCCGCGCATCTCCGCAACGCTGACCGTATCGCGATTCTACGTTCAGTGCCAGATCCATAAACTGTTCGGTGTGAGAATCCGCTTGGCACCGCGTGCCGGATTCGATATAATCCGTGCGGGTCCTYGRCCTTCCCATACCRACCAGCAATGTTGTCTCACTCAAGCGGTCGCTGAAATATCCTCGCGATACTGAATGGCTGAAGGAATATATTGTGGGGGTTCGCCCCTCGCAATATTGAACGGCTTGAAGGACACGCCGTTCAGCCCTTGCGGCACCCCTACCCTTGAAGCTAGGCGATCCGGTGGGCAAGGTTTTTATGCCCTGTGTGCAGGCAAAAATCCCTTGCTAGAGGGTTGGACTTTGGGTTTTTCCCGACAAGGACCTCAAACCTCTGGCCCAAGAATACGTCCGGCTTTTCAACTTAACAAGTAAGTGGGGCCAACGCGAAAATGAGGAGAAAGGTTATGCCTTTTTCGCCTTGGCCCATGACTCACCGCGCACCACCTATACGAATCGTTTATGGGGTGGCGTGTGGATAGTGTTCAGGTCAAGCCCTGTAGGCAGCCCAACGCTCGGAACATTTTCCTCGCTCGAGCGCGGGGTTCCCATAGGGCGGACCGACCTTATGACCTTTTTTACGCTTCGTTTTCATGATATTTTGGCTCACGGCTGGACCCTTATCGTCCCACCAATTGAAATCACACAAGAATATAGAAGGCATAAGTATGTGCTGGTGCATCCGTGTGAGGGCTACGCGAGGGACATACTCAAATGCCATAACACTTAGTCAGACGAAGAGTTAAGTGATGATACAGTCTCACAATAGTTATGTGGCTTGCCCGCCTGAACTCAATACAGCCAGAATACCACAATCATTCAACATGTTTCACACATACCTGTGAACACACACAAGGATCAAACAACAGAACACACACTAAAAGGATAAACTTTTCAGCCTTCTGCAACTCACACCCTGCCTTATGCACACAAGCCCAACCTTTTCCCCACCATTCCAAACAAAGATACTCAGTCTTTTAATA